CCATCATTGCCCTGAAGGAGAAAAACTGGGTCAGAGAAGAAAATCCACCAATAGAGGAAATATAGATGGGTCAACAATAGAAAAGTTATCTTAGCCGCGGGACCAGGACTGTGCAGCAGGCCTTTCCCATGGCTTATTCAATGATCTGCATACACTATTCACCTTTAAAAGAATGTTTTTTTCATGCTAACCAAGCAACATTTTAACTAATAAAATGGTTTTCTAGACACCCTGATTACAAGATGGGGTATGGGTAGGGGATGTCAAATTCTGGACACAAATTAGTGATGATTCCACCATCAATTAATAAATGTTTTTTTGAGCTTATATGTGGTGTGATAAAGATAATATTTGAAAATGTATTTACATGCTTTTCTCATCGCATTTCCTTGCTTTTATTTTTACCCTGGTTCTATCTGAAACTGAGTAATGATTAGTCAAATCCATTTCACTTGCCTTCATTAATCAAGGTCGTTTTAACACTTGCATGTCCTCCAAGCAGCTCCTAGCCTAAACAAGATGTTTGCCTAAGTTATTTTCCAGGACCTTGGAGTCTCAGCTGTGTATAGTTCAAGTTGAGCTAGTTAAGGGTAGCACCATCGACCCTCCAGCTGGGCAGGTGCTAGTGTCTGCTGGGTGACCTTTTGAACGTAGAGAGGCCTGTAGCTTAGCTACACCTGTGCAGGACCACGATTATCGCGCACCCTTTCCCAATCACCTTTCCCCACTCCCCCCACGCCTCAGCCTTCCCTGCTTCTTTATTGGTCATCCCATAAATAACCCAGCCCCTTGTTTTCTGCGAGGTGGATTTGAGGTTTGTTCTCCGGTTTCTTCTCTTGGCTGCCTTGGGAGTAAAACCTCTGCTTCGAGCCTTGGTGACTCAGCGTTTTGGCTTGCTGTGCCTCTTGAAAAATGAACCTGGCTCAGTAACAAATTTGGTGGGTCAACCAGGAGGTAAGTTCAGATGCGACTTTTGCCTGTTGGTTTGTTGGCCTCTTGCTGGTGCTGAGAGCCTGTGCACGAATCCAAGCAGCTGCCTGGTGCATTTGTAATAGGACCGTCCTTGGGATTTCTCTGGGGAGGTGCCACCAACCTTCAGCGCTTAGTTTCGTTTTGCAGTGAAAAAATGGTTTTGGGGGCTTCCCTGGTGGCGCAGTGGTTGAGAATCCGCCTGCCGATGCAGGGGCCACGGGTTCGTGCCCCGGTCTGGGAATATCCCACATGCCGCGGAGCGGCTGGGCCCGTGAGCCATGGCCGCTGAGCCTGCGCGTCCGGAGCCTGTGCTCCGCAACGGGAGAGGCCACAACAGTGAGAGGCCCGCGTACCGCAAAAAAAAAAAAAAAATGGTTTTGGGTGTTTGGGTTTGGAAGATGTCTTTTGGGTAACCTCGTTAAAAGAAACACACCTATGCCCAGGTTGTTTGTGCGATCCTGACCCGGTCGTGGGTTGGAGACCCACCTGGTGGGATGTGGGTAGACAATATAAAAGGTTACAGCCGTTGAGTTACCTGGGTTAAAGGCCCGGGATTTTGTTTTTTGATCTTGTCAGGTGGGGCAAAATCCCTTAAGGCAAGCCCCCACTGGAGGTGTGATTGCTGAAATGGGGCAGCCAATGGGATTGACCTGGGCCCATTCTCCTTTTTCAACTTCAGATTTAATTGGAATTAAACAGTATGTCAACTTATAGAGATGACCCAAAGAGAATGGAAAACTTTCTTTCATCGATTTCTTGCAACCCACAACCCGACCTGGGCCGGTGTTCAAAATTTATTAACCACCCTCCTCATTTCAGGAGCATGTAGAATGGTGCTGGGTAGAGCTGGGGAGGAGGCAGGTGAGCTTCATTCAGAAACCCCTGGCGGCCCGATACAGGCTGCTGTCAGCACAGCTGAACCAGCAATGCATCCTAACTGTGATGTGATGCTGGGGATAGGCCCAAACTTGGACATTATGGAGACTGCATTCTTGCAGGATTGTGAAGACGGGGCCGAAACAAAGAAGTCTTAATGAAGCACAGGAGGGAATGCAGAAACGGAATGAGGAGCCTTCAGAATTTCTAAAGAGGATCTTTAAAGCCTATGGGCGTATACAGATACAGCCCCTGAGGCCCAGAGAATTTAAAGATGGTTAATATGACTTATTGGTCAGAGGGCCTCTAATACACAAAGGAAAATGCAGAAGGTGGAAGGGGCTTTAGGAAGGGGCTTTAGGAATGCCTATGTCTTAGCTTGCTGAAATTGCCTTTAAAATTTTTAATGGCAGGGACCATGTTTAGGGAAAAGGAACAATGGAGAATGAAACAACAGGCCACTCTGCTGGCGGCTGCCTTAACACAGAGAAGAGCTGGACCCCCACAAAGGACTCAGCAAAAGGTAGGGGGCCTCAGGCCCTAAACTTCCCCTGGAATGGTACCCGATAGTGGGTGTCACTCTGGCTTTCTTTCAGTTCTTCACATGTGTAAAACTCATTTTTGCCCCAGGACGTTTGTACACGCTGCTCTCTTGGCTACTTTCTGTCTATTCATCTCCAACTCATTGTAATGTGTATGTCACTTTAAAGAAGACATAACGCTTGCCCTATCTAAATTAGGTCTCCCTTCAAAGCACTAAATGTTTTGTGGTCCTCCTTTTCTTCCACTTGACCCAAAATTCCATAAGGGTGAGAAGTAGGTCAATTTTGTTGCAGATTCCCAGTTCTTGGCATGACTCTTGACACATAATAGATGCTCACTAAATACCTGTTGAATGATTGTATCACTCAATCCTGGGATATTTGGACCAAGAACTAGGATGCAAGCAAGAGATTTGATGTTCATTCCAAAATTCCCATGATAGTAGAAGGGATGACAGTAAATAACAGACAAGTTCTAGTACACATCTTGAGTTCAGCAGGGCAAGAATAGTGTAACAGACTTAAGGCAACCTCCTTACAACGAACTAGGGCAATCTGGTATTTGTGTGTGCCTCCAAGACACTTAAACACCCTCGAAGTTCTGGTAGTTGCATATAATAGGGAAGTCAAGGCAATTTATTGGAAACAAAAATGCTATTCCTGTCTCTTCTGCTCTTTAAATCATACCAATAATGTCTGCTCCTCCTCCTGTATATGGGATTATGCCTGCTTGCATTTCTGATTCACTGGAGCTACATACAGTCCTTCTGTCTATTATAGTCTAATTAGAGAGAGCTCTAGAATTTACCAAGAGAGGCACCCACATCTTCATAACTGCTAAGTGCAGTTTCCTCACCCTTATTTCTGTATCTAAATACACTTATCTTTCATTTACCTTCAGGCCCCATGCAAAATTCTCTTTATTTCCAAGTGAGTCACAGTCTCCTTCAGACAAATTAAGTGGAACCCTGGAACCTGTCTATTTGACAAACTTGGCTCTGTCAGATCCTATTCTGGGTGCAGAATCAAAGAACTGAAAGATGTCATAAATATCCTCAGGGGGTAACAGTCTCATGAAGTTGCTTATGTCCACACACTATATCAGCCTTTCTTTTGTTTCTTCCTGCTTCCCTCTCACAGTGAGTCAGACTTCTCAGGCTCCTCTGGGCTTTCTTTAAAAAGAGGAAGAAAAGCTCATTGCAGATTTCATCCTGAGGTGATAGTGACCACTCCTCCTACTTACACAGAGGGCTTTGTCCTGGGTAAAAGGCCCATGTGGGGGGTCTCTAGCCTTATGAAATGAATCTCAAATGGCAGGCTTCCAAGATCAATGTGAAGCCAGTGAAATGACTTGGGGCTAAATCAGGGGTATCACTAAGGTTGCCTTGTCATAATGGGAGGAATCAGACTGGCTCCGTGATCCCAGGGATGTGAGCCCAGAGATGGTCCTTAGTTCCAAGTGTCCCAGTGTTGTGTCCTGTGGAGCATCCCTCACTGAAGTCATCAATAACATATCAAGGCCAGGAAACTGGAGTCTGTGGCCAGAGATCTCAGAACACTTCTAATTGGTTCTTCCAGATCGAAACCAGAGAAAAGAGGAGAAGGGTAACCCTCACTTGGTCAACTTATGTTCTTGGAAATGCCATATCTGGTAGATATTTAGATGGTCTCCCATTGTGATAAGAGATGGGCAATGTAAAATCAATAGAGTCTGCCAGTATTTTTCAGAATGTCTTATGAACAATGAAACTGAGCTCTCATTGCCGTTATTAAAAAATTATATATTTAGAAGATGAATCACTCTGAAGTTGGGCAACATTATACTTAGGTAGTTTATACAAGATTGGAAGCCTCAGAGCTTACAAATTATTCCTTCTCATAACTAGAATGCATCTTTCTCATGATGTGCTTTGGTCAGCTACACCATCTAATTATACTCTAATACCTAAGTAGGTAGATGACATTGAAAAACCTCTGAAAAGATGTGGACTTGGTTTGCAGACATTTTGGTGTAGTGGAAAGAATGGAATTTGGAGTTGGTCAGACCTGGATTCTAATATCAATGCTGACGTGTATAGCACCGCCTTGGGGTCATCACAGCTTCTCTGGGTTCCTTGTTTTGAACAACCAGATTATGGTTGTGACGTAGCATCGGGGATGAGTAGGGCTTTCAACACTTTCCTTTCTTGCCCACTTTCCCAACTTTTAGTCAGACTTCACTCAAAAGATGTGTGTGAGTGTATATACATGTAAGTGCAAATAAGTTTAGGCCTGAATGAGATGGGGGATGAGTTTTAGCAGAGGTAACTTTTCCTAAAAATGATTCTGACTTTTTACTGACACCTTAGAAGTATCTATGGGCAAGCTGAAGACAAAGGTGGCTTGCTAGGCATCCAGAATGTGCCTCCGAGTGTCTTAATTTCAAGAATTCTTTTGTCTAAACACACACTCCTTCATGAAAGGACATATCAGTCATGCCTCTATTAGGATTGATCCCATAGGCCTGGAACTGAGGAGGATAAACACTTATTGAGGTCACGTCATTGTGACTCTTCAAATACCTTTGCCCAGTGGATGAAGTTTCAAACAAAGGACACGAGCCAAGATACATTTTGTGATAACTTTTTTCTTTAGAAAAAAAATATGTACAAAAAAAGCTAAGAAGAACCAACGTGGAAGTGTCGAGAAAACATTCTGATAGATACAGACAAGGGAGCGCCCGCTCTCAAGGAAGTTACACATTAGTTATTACCATGCTAGAAAAATGTGATGCAGTTAAAATTCTAGAACAATTAAAAGCCGCAAAGTCAAGCTGTTGCTCTGGGGCTCTAGGTTGTAGATGCTCTGATACCCTTTCTGCAAAATAATACTGTGCAAACTGTAAAATACTCATTTTCATATAAAGTCCATACAATATGATCTAGAAAACTGAGTTGACAGGGGACGCTGGTACTGGCAGTGTTTTGGGAAAGAAGGCTGCAGTGTCACCTGCCAGCCCAAAGACATAATTGCAGAAAGATCTTGAATTTCTTAACCAGGAGAGGCCATTACCTAAGAATCATACCCAACAGTCCTCAAATCCAGGATTTCCTGCCATTGTTTATGTAACTTAGGTGATTTTATTAATATGTTACTTTAACTTAGAATGCAATCACATGTTAAGGAATCAGAAAAAGTTCTTTTTCAAAGCAATACTTCTTTCTACACAATTGATCTTGCGGTTTACCATAAACCAACATTGTCTTCCCTGCAACTCAGAAGTTTATTTTTAAATTCAAAAATTCTGGAGGAGGCAGCAACTGTGATAATAAAAGATTAAAGTGAATTATTTCATTTCAGTGTCTATAAAACTGAGAAAAGAAGGTTTGTGTACAAATATCACAAAACAACATCAACCATTGAATAAATGTGGTTCTTCAATGCACACCTGAAGAAGAAAATTTTGTTTAAAATTCTGGCATAAATATATTAAAGCTGACTAAAAAAAAAAAAAATCAGGGCAAGCTACATCACTTCCTCATACAAAAAATGTACAAAACATTAGCCTCTAACTAGATAAACATAATACTTGTCTTCACAGTTTGACATCAAGTAACTGTGTGCCTTGAAGTATCGAATTGGAGGGTGATTTAAAAAAAAAAAAAGCAGCTTGTGACACGTCAGCCGTTTCAGGTAACTTCGGTCATAGAGGCAGAGTGATTCTGCGAACACAAGCAGATAAAACCTTAGTTGACTCATGCACACATTCTCCCCAGAATATCCTCTTGCTTTCCTGTCTCAAGTTCATTCTGTTCCCACTCCCTGACATGCTCTTCCAAGGACCCTCGAATTGTTACCTCTTCTATTAAAACTTCCCTGATTTTCAACCCAAATAAGACCATGTCTTATATCATACTTAACTATATTCTATGAAACATTTGAAGATCTAAAAGTAACTTTAGCTTCATCCCACATCTTTTTTTTAACATTGTGGCTTTAATTTTGAACAGTTCTAATCTTTGAAAAATTTCCATATGATATATTCCGAGTCATGAGTTCCAGAGCAATGAGTTTAATATTTTCGGATGCACAGGGGTTTTTGGTTTAAAGTCTTTGAATTTCCAGAGAATGTTATCTAGATGCTTTTGAAGTTTCTTGATTTGCTTTATAGCCTTGCACGTGGTCTGTTTTAAACGTTTTGTGTGTTTTGAGAAGGATTATATATGTGCCTTAGATCAACTTTATTAATCATCTTTTACTATATTTCATTTGCTTATTACCGAGAGAAGGGTTAAAATCTATGATTGCAGCTTCGTCCACTTTTCCTTGTAGTTCCATTAATTTTTCTTTATATGGTTTGTTCATAATAAACCTTATGTCTTTGGTTTTATATAACTTATATATAATCCCACCTTTTTTCAGGCCCAAGTCTTTCTCTTTTGTTTGAACTTAAAACTTCCAGTCTACGGGATTGGTAAATACCTTAAGAAATGGTGGCTTTAGATCTAATTCATTATGGGTTTCCAGATTCCTGTTTGTTTTTAGGACACTAGAGATGTATATTCTTGAGAGTTCAACTATGAATTTTAGAAACTGAATATTCCGTATTTTTCAAGGTTCTTTTATCTCCTATATTTGTGAAAATTGAGGTTTTTATATTTCTTGCCATAATGTGAAAAGTTTATGTTTTTACTTTTATAATATGCTTTCTTTTTTAAACTTTTGGTCAATAATTTGGTCATTTATATGTTTATAAGAGTCCATTTAAAAGTGGGTGGTAAAGATAAAGTAGTTTAACAGCCTAAGATAACTAACTGGGTGACTTTGGGCAGATTTCTTTAACTCTCCGAGTCTTTTCATTTTTCTATTTATAATTTGAAGTCTATAATATCACTAGTTCTAAATCAAGGGGTGGCGAGCATTAGAATCCCTCTGGGACTATTTTCTTATATGGCTTTGCACCCCAGAATGGCTGAATCAGAATCTTCTGGAATAAGGTCATAGGCATCTGAGTCTTGAGATAGATGGATCCTTCTTTTTTGTTAAAGAAAAAAATATCATCTCCCCCCTATATCGCCCCTCCCCCATCAGGAGACACGGGAGACTTTATACCACACACAGTGAGTTAACACTGGCTCATCTCTCATTTCTCTGTTAATATAAACTGTGTTCAGCAAAGACACAGTTGCTCAACGCTAAGCTTGATTACGCAGGTGAAAGTGGGTGTGAGGCCACAGGACGAGGATAGCTCAGAGCTGGTCTCTCTAGGATACAATAGCTCTGTTGCATCACAAAATAATGCTTTGGAAACTCGACCATTTTTGTTTCGTTTGGATTCTGTAATTTTTTACTTTCTGGTTTCTCTTTAGTATTGGGGAAAGATTTTAGAAAATGTACCGTCTCAACCACAGAAGGCAAATACTCAAATTTGAGTTGGTCTTTTGGAGAGGAGGAAAGAACACTGCAGCTCTGGGGCTCCGTGTGGCAAAGGGGAAAGGATGTCTCTGGAAGAAGGGAAGGGAGGGTGAGGGCGTTCCCTCCCCAGCTAGACAGTCTTCTCCTTGAGGTGCTCTGAACAGCTGGATGGGCTTCACATGTGAGAATGTGTGCTTTAAAGACAGGTTCATATCTTCTCTCAGATCCCCCTCCCGGGAAGATGGTTCTATCCCAGAAATTACAAAGGAGCAGCTTCTAGTAGAAGCCATGGCTGCTGCTGTTGCACAGGAAGCCCTCGCCCACAGGGGAAAACACAGGGCATATTTATTTTGGAAGAGGTGTAGCTCAGTGTAAACTCTGCCAGCCCTGTGCAGCTCAGCTCACACACACTGTCCCCTAGAGCGTGTTTCCATATTCAATGCTGAGAGTTGTAGATTTCAAAATGGAATTTTCCTTAAATGTCAGGCCATGTGGTGTACAAGAGCAAGCAGGGCCTTTTTTTTTTTTTTAGGGCCTTTGGAATTAGATGGGCCTGGGTCTTAATCTTGACCGGGTGACCTTCAGCATGTTACTTAAACTCTTTTTGCCTTACTTCATCTATAAAGTCGAATAATAATGCAAATTGCAGGATTATTGTAAGGACTGAATGTGAGGGCTTGCAATAAATGCTCATTTTCTCTTCTTGACCCACAAATAAAGGGTATATCCTCCTAACTACCCATGTGGAAAGCAGATGCTTCGTTACTTGAATATTGCACAACTAGTATGGAAGGCATCACTTAGGAGGCAATACTTTCCATCCGGCTTCCTGTAGCTTTATTTTGACTAGCCTGCAGAAGTCCTGTTCATCATTACTCATAAACTTCTATTTACCATGGAGTTTCAGATATTGACTAGAGCCCAGTTTTAGGTTCTCAGTTTTGACTAGAGGGTCTAGTTCAGGTTTTGGTTCTGGCTTGCATCTGTCCATCTATCACATATTTATTTCGCCCCTAGTGAATGCCAGGAAATATAGAGAGTAAGAAAGACCTGGTTCATATACTTAATCTCTCAGTCCTTGTGGGAGGCAGATATGAGGGGATTACTGACATTAATTGTGAGGGGCAGTCACACCTGGGGCCCTGGGGTCTCTTTGACCCAAGCCTGGTATTCACAGAAGGCCTCAAATTGTGCCCAGATGAGGGGATATACATGGAAATAAAGATACATGGACAGATTTGAAAAGTTCAATTACTGCCTGTAGTGAATAATAAACTAATACATATTTTTAAAGAATTTTTAAAATCTATATTGTGAATAGCAGGTTTTGAAATCAGGTTGGCACTTCATTTTTCAATGTAAGTAGAATCCCCCAAAACATGGCCTGGATGTCTCTTGGCCTGGTCAACTACTACTGGTCCTGAGGGAGAAGAGAGAATTCTGGAGAAGGCTTCAGACAGAAGGTGATGCTTGAGCAGTGCTGGGTAAAAGGATGGGGGCAGAAACAGGGTGCTCTTTGACCAGGACATTCAGGGTAAAGTCGACAGCATTTACAAGGACAGACTGATATGTTTGTGGAACTTAGCAAACATCTCAGCTTGCTTTTCAAATTCACCTTTGTCATTAGTTGCTTCATCTCAAAAAATAGAGGGAACCACTCTGACCTCACCAGGTACAAGAAGATAATCAGGGAAGAAAAACTAGGGAGAGTCTATTTCACCATTTCATTACGTGGTTTTATTATTTAGCTAATTCGTCATTCAACCTGCATTAACTGGCTACATATAAATAAATCAGTAGTAAAATTTTCACTATGTTATTTCTAATTGGACCAAGTCAAAATTTTCACCTTAATACAGGTGAAGGGAAAACGAACAAAATACTTGGCACTGGGTTTAATGGAGAGCCCTAAATATTTTTCCCAAGGTGGAGATAGCTTTTTTTTTTTCTGGTTCATTAATAAAATTAGACTTCATTAAATGTGAAAAGAAGTAGGATAGTTTCTCAGATGTCTGATAGTTACTCTTTCAAGAGTGAAATATTTTATACTATATCGATAGGAAGTACATGATAATTCCAGTGGGAGGAGATTTGCTTCTCTTGCACTCTGTAAAAATGATTTAGTAAGGAAATGCCAAATACAACAAGATTTCGAGATAGACTATTACAGAAAATAAACACTTTAGCAGGACTCAGCTACATGACAAACGTGTCATGATATAAAAACCCTGTTTTATTATTAGTTATCCCCATTCTGTCTGCTTAAAGAGCTACTCACGCCAGTTTTCCCACTTGCTGGCTATGTGGCTTGGGGAAGAAATTTACTGTTGCTATTTTCATATCCCTCTCGATCTGTGAAATGGGAATTATACTACTGATTCAGTAAGTTTTTGTTCAAACAAAAATATATTTGTAAAGCACCTAGCAACTGTCTCAGGCAAAAGTCAGTGCTTTATACCATGTTTCAGGGCTCATTTCAGGTGGCAAGTCTTCTCCGTGGCTTTCCCTGCCTTAGAATAAATTTCTTCTTCATCTGTGTTCACAAAGTGCTTCGTGTATCTGATTCAGCATGCCATGTTATGATTACTGATTTACATACACCTTTCCTGATCATCTGTGAGTTCCTTGAGCACAGGACATGTGGCTAGTTATTCATCTCTGGCATGAAGCAAGGTCCTGGTGTAAATAAGTGATCAGTTGGTACTGTTGCATTGAATTTTTGATGGTCATCAAAACAGATCCAAAAGGATACTTAGTTACCTTTCTTAATGTGCTGCCACACATTAACAAAGCATTTCTTTCCAAATGTTGTCCTAGTTACTAAATCAAATTGGCCTCCCACAAGGGTTGGTGTAAATTTCACAAGTGTGTTACTACATTGGAGGTCAAGGTATCCTGAAGCAGTTGGGGTTTAAGTTAGACATGACTAAGAGCTTCCTGAGGAAGGGCCAAGCCCTGGAAGGAATACAGGATTAATTGAGGGAAGCTGTGAAGTTCTTGAGGGCCTTCATGTCAGATTTTTATTGTTGCTGGGTGGATTCAGTTATGTCCTGTTTTCAGTAGAGAAATGGATTAGTTGACCTCCAAGATAACAGGCCTGGAGCCTCCGGGTTTGGTTTGCTAAAACCACTTTACTGTACCTGTGCACTTAAGGTTTCCAGAGGGCTTTCTATCCTTGGGAAAGCCATTAGGGGTACTCCACGGGGGTCCTCGGGTTTGGGTTTGGAAGGAGATCCTTGTGTTCCTTTAAAGTTATGGACCACACACATTCCCTGCAGGATGAGGGGAAAAAAGATTGGGGTCAGACTGCGGCTGTCAATGCCTGGCCACCTCTGCGGGTGGCAGGCCTTCCCCCTTAGAATGTCGTTGCATAGTGACTTGTGAGCCAGTGGGTAGGGACCGTGGAAAGACCTGGGGCATGGTTCAGGCTGCCTGCTGCCTGCTGAGCACATTCTAGGTGCTGAGGGAGCATCTGTTTGATCACCAGATGGCCAGGGATGCTCAGTCTACCCCCACTGAGCTTGTTTCCTCACCTGTAAAAATGGGAATAATACCTACCTCATAGATTTACAACAATTAAAAGACCCGATGAATGTAAAGCACCTCATAATAACAGCTAACATTTACTGAGGGCCACTTATGTGTCTGGTACTGTCCTGAGGGTTTACCTTATTTCATCTAATCCACTCAGCAATCTTAGAAGGGAGGTACTATTATCCTCTCCAACTTAGATAAGGAGGCACAGAGAATTTAGATAACTTGCCCAAGATTACACAGATTTAAACTCCATAGCCTCTAAATCACACCACCGCTATAGGATTTTGCCTCTTAACAAGTGCCAAACATACAGCAAAAATGCAATGTTAGCTGGTCTTTAACTCTTACCTAAGATGATTACCCTTAAGTTACTTAGCAAAGTCACATCATTTATTAGTGGCACTTCTATTGCTTCCATTAAAACTCCCTCTCTCAATTACTACCCACTTGTCTTTATTTCCTACTGAGGCCGCTTCATAACTGAGTCTGTTCTAACCATCTTCTGTCTCTTTCCATACTCTCTTCCATTGTTCTGCATCGTGTTTTCTATATCCAGTGCCTCTGAATCTTTCCCGTAGCTCCTCAAACCCCACAGAACATTCACATGAGTATTCTCTACCTGGCTCTCCTCCACCTTACTCTCCAGCTCTGCTTAAACTTCCCCCATTCAGGAAATGGGAGAAGTGGAGGGTGTAGGAGCTCTGGGGTTGGAGAGAGCAGGTCAGATTCCTGGCTTACTGGCTGGGTGGCCATTGGGCAAGTTACTTATCCGCGAGCCTCACTTTCCTCTTTTATAAAATGAGGATAAGAATACTGTTAGGGCAAGATAAACAAAACAAACACAGAACTGATTGGTGGTTACCAGAGGGGAAGGGGGTGCGGGGGGAGGGCAAAATAGGATAAGGGGGTCAATTATATGGTGGCAGATGAAAAGTAGACTTTTGGGGGCGAGCATCTGTATACAGACGTCAAATTATAATGTACACATGAAACATACATTATAAACCAAAGTTACCTCAGTAAAAAACATTGTTAGGGTTGTCCTGGGAGCTCATGATTTGGTGTATATAAAGTGTAGGGCATGTAGTAATTGTTCAACTAACTTCCTTCCCCTTCCCCCAATTTCATCTTCATAAGAAACACAAAACCATAATGAACACAGGCCACGAATATGCTCCTGTTCAGACTCCCCTTTTTCGGCCTCCTCCAAGTCTCTGCTTTGGAACGCTTCCGTTCTCTTCTACAAGGTCCGCTTCTCCCATTTCCCAGCTTGGCGAGTGTATACGTGAGGTGTGTACATGCAGATACAGTGGGGGACAGTGTGGCCTGCCTCCTACCAGACCCGTTCAACAGCAGGTGTGGGTCTTACATAAAGATCATTTGTGGAAAACAAATTTTGACATTCATCATCAGTTGGGAAGGCAATACAAGACTTAACAGTAACCAAGTGGTAGGAAAGAGGGCTGCAAGTTACTGAGAGAACACAAGTTTAATGTTAAAGCAGAATTTGTGTATGGGGCCTCGGCAAACACAAAGTTTTTGACCCCATGAAATTGCTTGGAACAGTCAGTACCGCTTTTTCTCTTTAGCTGGGGTTGAGCTGGATCCAGGACTGATGGGGACAGCAAAAGTGTTCCTTTGGAGTTCCAGCCTTCACTTATGTACTATTGATCTCTGTTTGTAAAATCCTCTCTTCTCTTGAAGTCACCTGTATTCTCTCCCCCTTTTAAAAAGCACCCTCAGGGAAATACCTTCTGAGAGCTCAACATCTCAGGATCATCTCAGCACCACTTTTCCTGCTGCTTCACCCAGAGAATTTGCATTTAAGTCCCTCATCATTTACTTTAGAAAGAAAGACTGGATCCATTAAAAATAATTTTGAATTCAAATGGAGCTTGCCAGTTAATGTTCTGAGTAAATGCGAGCATTTTCTGTGTGTATCTGAGCAGGTAAAAATATTGGGAAACTCTGAGTTAGAGGTTGGGAGAGGCATATGTGCATTTTGTATGTTGGGGAGGACATACATACAGAATCCCCGTATGGAAGGGGTAGGACAAGGAGAAGTTAGGTCATAGGCCTGTGAAACCTATCTGCGTGTGATGTTAGTCTTAACATGTGCCTTGGACCAGAAAGGACAGAAAGGGAGGAAGGACATCCAGGCTGTGATGGCTTCTGTCTCCTTGGGGAGGCCTGCTGAATGTTATTAGGAGATTGATTTCATGCACAACATCTGCAGGCCTAGTGATTTACTGTAAATCCTTCTGGGTGTGTTTTATTTTATTTTATAAATTTATTTTATTTATTTTTGGCTGCATTGGGTCTCCGTTGCTGTGCACGGGCTTCCTCTACTTGCAGCGAGTGGGGGGCACTCTTCATTGCGGTGCGGGGCTTCTCATCGTGGTGGCTTCTCTTGTTGTGGAGCACGGGCTCTAGACATGCGGGCTCAGTAGTTGTGGCATGCGGGCTCAGTAGTTGTGGCATGCAGGCTCAGTAGTTGTGGCTTGTGGGCTCTAGAGCACAGGCTCAGTAGTTGTGGCATGCGGGTTCAGTAGTTGTGGCATGCAGGCTCAGTAGTTGTGGCTCGTGGGCTCTAGAGCACAGGCTCAGTAGTTGTGGCACAGGGGCTTAGTTGCCCCACAGCATGTGGGATCTTCCTGGACTAGGGCTCGAACCTGTGTCCCTTACATAGGCAGGCAGATTCTTAAACACTGCGCCACCAGGGAAATCCCTTCTGGGTATATTTTAAATCCTTGAAAATAATTTCTAAAGCTGAACCTCTATGGTATGCCCATGCAATGGAATACTACACAGCAAGAAAAAGGAATTGCTGATAACATGCTTACAACATGGATAAATATCAAAATAATTATGCTGGGTAAAGGATGCCAGGATAAAAAATACATACTGTATGATTCCATTAATATTAAATCTTAGGGTAATCTAATACAGAAGATCAGTGGTTGCTTAGGAATGAAGGGAAAGGAAGGGTGGGAGAGAAGGATGTTATCTGTAGGTCAAAACTGGTCAAATTATACACTTTCTATGCCATTTATTGTATGCCTATCATACCTCAAATCTGTAAAAATTTAAAAAAGCAATAAAAGTTAACCAGAACCCTTCTCCAGGAAGTATTATGCCGTTGAGAGGCCACTTACAGTGGAAATGAGATGCCCAAGAGGCATGTTCAGATAAGAGTCCCCCTAAAAAGTCTGGGTGTGGTTAGCTGAGGGTTTTCATATTTCTGAGTGGGATATGCAAGTCTGGGCCAGAGTGGAGTTTCTTGAAATGCTGGAGAAGGAGCTGCCTGCTTGCGTCAATATTCCGTTCTCTGTTCTTCCCCCAAGCAACACTTAGCTTATGCTCCCAGTACGTCCTGAACAAGTATTTAGAGAATCATGGTTTGAAGGTATGCTAAATTGCTTCTGCCCAGCCCCAAGGCCGGGGTTGAGGCAAGTGGAGCAAGCCGTCCTTCCTGAAGCCATCCTACTCCTGATGCACAGGGGGAATATGCAGTCATACTTGTGAAAGAAAGGGCACAGGGCACTTGGCGAGTAACTGCAACTCACAAGGTTGGGGCCAGAGGACCTTGGACTTAGACTGGAGTCTGGGGAGCCTGACTTGCCAGGATCCTGGGCAGCCCTTCAGAGGACACCAGCGGGGAAAAAAGTAGAGGGAAGCTGACCTACCAGAAACAGGGCTACAGCAGTGCCCAGGATGAAGCCCGCGATCACATCGGAGCAGTGGTTCCGATACTCGGAGACCCGGTTGAGGCCCATCAGGAAGGCTGTGCAGAGGGTCCCGAGGCACAGCACCGGCTTGGCCAGTCGACTGCTTTTCGTCTTGATTGTGCTTGTGATGTACATCTAGATTAGGACAGAGACCAGGGAGTGACTGGCAGCCTCTGCATACGGTGTATATACACACATGCATGGACATACACCACACACAAACGGGCCTGCACCAAAGCAAGAACGATGAATGAATGTACATGGGTCTCGGTGCTTTGTATTCTGGTGGGCATGGGAACAGAAATTACAGTGACATGAATGACTGCATAATAATCAGGTTCAGAGCATGCAGTTTTTATGCAACAAACTAAAGAATCACTTGGGGTATTAGGAAACCCAGATAAGAATCTCAGATGCCAAATAAATCTTCTATTAGAATTAATTTTATGGAGAAGACCAGGTAGGTGAGTGGCAATACATTTCACTTTTTGTGTCCCCCATAATCTTAGCGGATTCTTCACACTTTCAATGAATATAAAAGCATTAGTTAATTGACTGAATTAGAACTTCCAAACCAGTCTGTCACATAAATACGTTTCAGTTGTGCTGGGAAGTTGATTCTCACAATCCTTGTGATAGCTGGATCAGCCCTATCCATTCATTTACTCCAGCATGTTTTAAAATAAAATTTTCTATGTGGGCCACGACATATAAAAAGTTGGGAAGTCCTGATGTACGTAAAGGATGATGCAACTTATGACATATGAGTTGTAGGTTGTTCTTATTCCATTGTGAGGAGCTGGGTAAGACTCCTAAGTATTTCATAGGCTCAGTTACCAAATGTGTCCCTTGCGGCTCAGAGTTAGGAAGATGTGCCTCTTACAAAGAAGTAAATACTTTGTTACACAACCTTTGGTGGTGGTTACAAGAAACCACTAGAGGGCGTAATTGATCTAGCATCGCTTCTTAGCAAGTGTGCTAAATGAGTTTGCAACCCAGAAAAATAGTATGCCAATACTTATTACAATCTATGGTGTGCTTGTATGGCCTGAGCACATGTAAGTTCACACAGATGCATTTTAAAGTATTACAGTGGAAACTTAATTTCCTAGAATGATCCTTCAGCGCTGGTGTGAATACAGGAAGATGGGATTTTCTTTGTTACATGTAATAAAACTGTGGTTAGATCAGAGTTACATAAATTAGAGTATATCATTACACCATTCTGAGGCTGTGTAGGAAATGTCACTTAACATCTATACTAGATATATTTAAATTTAGTTTTTTATGCTTCTATATTGTTTTTTAATTAAAGCCTTTATAAATCTTTACTATAAGATTACAAACTTTTTTTTTTTTTTTTGCGGTACGCGGGCCTCTCACTGTTGTGGCCTCTCCCGTTGCGGAGCACAGGCTCCGGACGCGCAGGCTCAGCGGCCATGGCTCACGGGCCTAGCTGCTCCGCGGCATGTGGGATCTTCCCAGACCGGGGCACGAACCCGTGTCCCCTGCATCGGCAGGCGGACTCTCAACCACTGCGCCACCAGGGAAGCCCAAGATTACAAACTATTAATAACATGGGCCTGTGGTTAGTTAGTATTCTTCACAGCATTAACTAGTACTTAGGAAATCCTTGTTGAGTAATTTCTGAAAGCACACATAATAGGGGCTCGGAAAAATGTTTACACAATTGGAATCTTGTATCAGGGTTTCTGATTAGTCTGTCTGTGGGGCATGATTTGAATTGGATTATATCTGAATCCTTGAAAACGTGCTATATAAGCATCTATTCTGAGTAAGATAACTTCTTTCTTCCCAAGAGAAATTTATATCTCACTTGACGAGACAGTATTTTTTGATAAGTAACAGATTTATTTTTATAATGGTGTTGTAAAAATTGATTTCATACAACAATGACTTGAGTTTGATAAAAATACAGAAAAAGGTGCAAGAGTACATTGCTTCATATAACTTAGGTCCTATATAATCTAAGATACAAAGCGATTATTTTGAAAACTGGAAACTATGCCAAATGCCTGAAAAGACTTTGTTTAAAAAATACCTGGTGTAGATTTTTTTGGGGGGTGGGCAGTAAAGCCAAGAAACCTCACTGAGCTAAACTGGTCTGTTTGTAAATCAGACTTCTGTATTATTTATGTTCATGTTTCCTTAATATGGGGGTAGCTGAAATCACTTTTGATATGTATTCATTAAAGAGTAGATCTAAAAGAAATAATTAGACTTATTTTGGAAAATTGATCCTACAGATGTTATCCTATAAATTGGACAAAAAAGCGCCATTGTTTTAAAGAGAATATTCAGCAGTTTCTTTCAAACTCTACTAAGTGGACCAGACCTGTAGTCAGTCACCTTTACTCCACCCTGAATGTATGTATTTGGGGCGATGGCATGGACACACTTCCATCGGAAGCAGACTCAGTAGGGAGTGCAGTGACTGTCGTTGAATGAGAGGGAACATGCTCCCTGGGGGTGGGGCGAGGGCACACCCAGAGTCTCTGGGAAGACTGCGTAGTTTGAAAAGGGGTCTTTCCTCTGCCTCCTCCTACCTCACCTTTCACTGAGAATCACTAGACTAGTCACACCCTGAATATAAAATAAGTTGAAGGAAAAGGGGTGTTTTCAGCAATAGTCACTCATCCACAGGTAAATACACATGATATCCAGGAGTGGAGCCTTTGCACTGATCCCTCTACTTCTGTACGCTTGGTTCTAAGGAAACAGAGGTCAGAAAAAGGTGAAGTGAAGTCATTTCCAAAGTGGATGCAATTAAAGAGCAGGAAAAAAAGATGGACACCATCATTTGTTTTATTTTAAGATGTGGGACACACTTCGGGCTTTCTCTGTGATGAGAGCAAAAAGTTTAGAATATTATACCCCAGTGGGGGCAGTCAAAACTTGTGTGACCTAGGGAACAGTGAGAAGTAAACTTGTGGGTGTTGGGGGTCTTTTAGGATCACCCATCTGTCCTGGCAAAGTGATGAAGAGTATTAGGAGGAGCAGAGGAAAGCCATGTCTTTATCCGGGTTTGCCGCACTGCCCGGGCAGGCGTTCACACGAGGCACACACCTGCAAATTTGTAGACAAGTGTGAGAAATGTGTGCTGTTCTAGAAACAACCAAAGCTTTGGCAAAGAGTGCTGTTCTGGGCAGTGAAAGAACCCTATACCCGGTGCCAGGAGCCTGGGCCTCTGCTCTGACTCTGTGTTCTTAGCTATTCTCTGGGCCTCAGTCTCTGCATCTGTAAAATGGGAGGATGTGACTAAGTGATTATCAACAGTCTTGCCAGAATTAACATCCTCTGGCAGGTCTTAAATTGGGATGTTGAGGGTGGGGGCAACAGCATGATATAATAAAGGAGAAACATATTGTAACATGACTTTAAAAGTCACCAGAAGTAATGAAAGAATGGGGGGGAGGGTGGCGGAGAGACCCATCACAGCCAAAACTCCACGTGGGTCATACTCACCGTGGCGTATAAGGCGGAGTAAATGCTCAGAGCAGCATGTTTGGAGGGAAAGGACCTCCTAGCCTTCTCTATCACTTCCAGGTCCCCAGTACAGATGTTCCCGTTGTTGATGAACTGGTGGTGAGCCCGGCAGTCTGCGCTGGTGTAGTTGGGCTTGCACACTGTCAGGAAGTACGGCGTCAGGTGCCCCGTGACCACTTGTCCGGCGTTTACAAAAATATCAGTAGCAAAAAGTCCAAAAGCAAATACCCCTATGAGGAGATTTAAAATAATTAGGAAAGGTGACATACCCCATCGATTGGTTTTGTCCCTGAGAGAAAAACAGCGGTGAGAGTCCATGACAACCTATCAGAAAGGTTCTCCCCAGAGTCAAATTGTCTCCTCACCTTTATCTTTCCAGGGAGTGGTGCCTGCTTCCCAAACCACTGTTTCTTCCAAATTGGTACAGTCACGCTGCTGTTAGCATTTCATTATTTTGTATAAGTAAATTAGAAGCAGCATGTGCTAATGGAAAGAATTTGAATTTTGGAGTCATGTAGAGCTGGGCTCCAGACCCACCTTTGGTGACTCGTTCACAGTGTACGTTGTTGACCTTCTCTGAATCTTGGTACCCTTATCACAAAGTGGTTGGGGGGAGTGATACCTCAGAAAGGAGTTGGAAAGATGAAATAAAATATGTGCAAAACACCTGCTGCGTGCCTGGCATTAAGTAGTTACTCAACATTAGTTCTCTTTCCTTCTATAGAAAATATCTTCCCCCTGGTCCTTTTGGAAATGCAGATACTCCTCGGAGGAGTTATCATGGCAGGTGAGAGAATGAGGTTGTTAGAGAGTCGTCCCTAAAAGAGGGAAAAGGATCACTCTAGAAACCTTGATTGAATTGGATGTTTCATTTGATGTTGGAAACAGAAAGGGAGGAGGAAGAGTTAAAGATGAATGTTGGTGACTTTATCAAATTACCACAGAGTGGCTTAAACCAGCACAAACGTACTGTTTTACAGCTCCAGAGGTCAGAAGTCCAAAATAGGTTTCACTGGGCTAAAATCAAAGTGTTGGCAGAACCGTGTTCTTTCTGGAAGCTCCAGAGTGGAATTCATTCCTTGCTTTTTCCAGCTTCTTGCCTTCATTTCTTGACACGTGCCCCCGCTCTCCCCCTGCCTCCCCGGCAATCGTATCATACGGCAATCATATCATATGAGATCTGCTTCCATTGTCACGTTTCCTTCCGTGACTCACTCTCTTGCTTCTCTCTTATAAGGTTACATTGTCTACCTGAATAATCCAGGACAATCTCAAAATCCTTAATCTAATCACACATAGAAATTCCTTTTTGTCATGTAAAGTAATATATCCACAGTTTCTAGGGGTTAGGACATAGACATTTCGGAGCGAGGAAGGCGTTATTTTACCCACCATGCTGACTTGGCCTGCTTGGCCAAGAACCCCGTGGGTAGGCTATATTTCCTGGATTTTATCTGTTCTCTGGTAAATTCCACAGGAATATAGGATTACCCCCAACAAGCTTGAACATGAATAAGCAGAATTCCCTATAGGAAGTTTCACTGTGGATCTTTCAAAGCCTATACATACATCTATAGATTACCTGTGGACTGTTTTCTGTTAAATATATCAAGAGCAGCTGTGCAGAGCCAAGGTACATACAAGTCATCTGAAGAGATAAAGAAGACTTTTCAAGTGCGACTCAATTATGGGAGAAGTTGGCAAGTGTGAGAGGCAGCGTTAACCCTTGTAAATGTCAAGGATCTGCTATATTTTCAATTAAATTTCTATCCAATTTTGACTTCCATATTCAATGTCTTGAATCTGCAAATTGTGCTGACTTCAGCGCCTAAAAGTCAATCCATTAGAGCAGAAGCAAAGACAAGTTTGGCTGAAACCTTCATCCGGTTTCCATTTTGACCTGTACTGATTGTTATAATTTTCTTTTTTGTGGCTTTGCCAGTATGTGCTTTATCAGAATGAGAACTGGCTCTTTTAATACCTTCAGCCGGCTCACACTCATAGCGTCTGACCTCTGAGAGTAGGTATTCACTGATCATTCGTGGTAATTTTCACCCACAGGTTCTGGAAGTCTGGTTAGAAATTTTTTTACATCTTCAAGCAAGATTCTCAAAGACCAGGTCCCTGGCTTTTTCAAGGGGCAGTAAGTCTGTCTAGACATACTTTTCCAGGAAACTAGGGTAACATGTGATTTGAAAAGGGAAAAGTGACAGCATGTTCCTCTGGGATTTTATTTGTCAGAATGCTTCCAATCAGGGCGAATTCTTTCTGAGATAGAGGATTTCTAGGCTCCTTGGATAGGTGTCTGAAGTGCCAAGTCCCTGGTCACAGTGAATCTGTGACGGGCAAGTTTCCACTTTGCTGCCATGTGATATTATTGCTGAAAGTTGCTTTCCCCTCTTCTCTTTGCCTCTCCTGGATTTTGTCTGCTTCTCCTGACGGCTTAACAAGCATTTGCTTTCCAAACATTTCATTCTGGTGTATTTGATGTACCTTCAGAAGGGCAGTCCCAGGGATTCCACTTGCCTGGCATGGGCCATGCCAACAAAGTGCAGTGGAAGCGGCAGCGGTGATTCACAGACAATGTCAGATCATACGGGGCTTTTGTAAGAAATTCCAGCTATTCCTCTGTTAATCCTGAGCTCCTTGTGTGTCTGTTAAAAGCCTCAGAAGCCAAACAGAGCTGCTTTCGTCCTCAGAGTCAGATAGAACACTGTTTATGGTCTCCTGTACTGCAATATATGATTTGAAGGAGATGCTTTTAAAGTGTCTATATATCCTACCTTGGTGTCTAAAATTCTTTAAGTGAGATAATCTTTTTGAAATTTTAACAGATACATTTTCCATTCCTATAACCCTCCCTAGCTGGTTCTGCTTATCTTATGGCTCTGCTCCCAACGGTGTTCCTTGTTTCAGGGGAGCTGATCACATTTCGGAATGGATTTATAGCAGACACAAAGTCTAAAAGTAAAGCTCTTTTGGCTTGCCAGAGCTATGTGCTTGAGACACGTACTGCTGTTTTTGTTTGGAATTCTGAAAAGACTTGGACGGGAAAACCAAGAGCCATGGTCTATAGGATAAGACCATTGAGTTTCTAAAATAAACCCTAGAATGGGGAAGATGAGGCTGAGGGTGTCTCCCAAGGAGACAGAACCCTGCCTGGTCTGGTTGTGAAGGAGTGAAGGGGCATCCCATGCTCCTTGCCTCATGCTGGCTGTCAAACCCCAGGGGCAGGGCAATAGAAACCTCCAGAATGATTTTTGGAAATCAAGTTGAAGCATGTCCTGTGCCTCCCAGGGATGTAGCTCAGGAGCCCTGGACAACTTCTAGAGAAGTTCCACATCCAGCACAGTATCAGAACTACAGGAGCCTGCACTGGCAATGTTGGAGGGAGGATCAAATTGTTTGAGCCCTAGGGTTCCTCCCAAGACCCATACATTCTGGCATGGAATGGGCTAAGCACCTGTGAATTCCCACATCCCTAAGGGGTGAGGGGCATTGGAATGCTGAGAGGACCAGGAGGCTAGAAAAAATGTGGCATTAGGACAGAGACTGGCATCTGGTGATGGTGTTGTCTGCAGTCCCTGTTTTGATGATACAGATCGCTAAGGTAACCTGAGCGTGCCTCTTCTTTGTGGCCTCAAAGGATCTGACGCCCATCAGGCAAGTCAAAGGATGAAGAAAGAGGAAGATGAAAGTGTTTTTTTTAAAAAGTCCTTTTTCCCCCCTCTGAGGGTTTTACCAGGATCCCTCTGATCTCAGACAGGACGTCTTTGGACAAATTAGCATCTTTGATCACTAGTAAATTACGACACGTAGGTGAAACTCTGTGATCTGCTTCTTGCCAAGGAATCAGTGCAGAGTTCTATCCTTTTACTCAACCAAGAATGTAGTGGGGGAAAGCAGTGACGTACGCAGGAAATGCGTACGACAAAGATCTTCAGCCAAAGATATCGGGTGTACTGGCAAATGATAACAGGGCTCCTATCAGGATCTCTTTAGGCCTCCCGAACAAAGAACTGGTCAAAGTACAGAAGCCAGGCTGCTTGCTGCTGAGTCCACACAGGAGGCCTTCATTAGGAAGCCTAGAGCCAGGCTGCAGAGCAATAATTAGCAGGGACTGGTGGGGCGAGCAAAGAAAGGAATAAATTCCTTTTAGCCGCAAAGAACCTGTGACTTTAGGTGGAGCCTCTGAACTGAAGGCCAGTTATTCCATATTAAATTATAAGTGTATAATTTTCCAGTTTAAAATGGCACTTTGCTAACAGCCTCTAATAGAGCACCTCTCAACTGTCCACTAAAACATAAACAATGACAGTGAAAAAAGATGGAAACTCATAGTGCCAACCTGAAGGGATAATCAGTGAGGGATTTCTCTCTCTCTCTCTCTCTCTCTCTCTCTCTCTCTCGC